TACTGAGAATAAGCAATTTAAGTTGCTTCATTCCCATTTCAAACAGTTAATAATGACTGTTTCCAGGATGAAGTAGTCCCAATGGGGTATGCTGGACTTAACAGTAACATTTCAACATAAGGCCCAAGGTACAATATTGTAAAAAAAAAAAAAAAAAATGAATGCCATCCTCCATTTAAGTTGTTGATTATTTTTGTTGTTGCCTCACTGTCCAGTTGGTTACATGACCAAGCACAGATTTAAAGAGGGACTAAACAAGAGTATGGATGCAGGGAGAGGTGATTCATTGGGTATATTATTTGTAAAATCTACCACACTTCTCCATGAATTAATAAGCCAAATCCAATTTTATTCTAGAATTCATAAGATTAAAGATGAACACAATATTACAATAGTTACCTATTTACCACAAAATCATAATTATTACAACATATTTAATTATCTTTATAGAGGGTACCAGCAAAGCAAGAGTTACTAAACTTGTCATTAGGACCTTTTACAAAATTCAGAGGTGTATTGCTTTTAAGAATTGCATCGATAATTTATGAACAATTTAAATTTCTTAATTACATTCCACTTCTCATAGCCTGGTTTCTTACTAATTTGGAAATTCCTTTTGATATTTGGTAATCTGAATGTGACTAAGCCAGAAGAATCCTATGTCTTCTTTTTTTTTTTTTTTTTTAAAGATTTATTTGTTTATTTATTTATACAAGCACTGGGTACAGTCAGAAGCACAGGAGGGTGAGAGAATTCACCAGAGCCAGAGAGGGGAGCAGAGCAGGCAGAAGGACCGAAGCGGGCGGCAGGAGAGGTCTGCGCACCATGTGGGACCCTCCTCCGGTGGCCGGGGAGCAGCCGGGGATCGAACTGGCGCTGCAGAGGCTGCGGGCAGCTTTGCAACCTAGCGCTCAACCGCTGCGCCACCGGGGAGGCCCCCCTATGTCTTCTTTTTAAGGAAAAGAACCACTCATAGTTCTAATCCCAAAATACTTGAGGAATAGTGTTGATTTAATGCTTATATAATCATGTCACTGAGGTCTACTCTCTCTATTTAAAATTGTTTTCCCCAATGTGATACCCATTACAGTTTAAAACACATACATTACTTTTAAAAATTAATTTTAATCTTATTTTCCAAGAAAGCAGGATATTTTCTGTTTACCTGCTCTAAGAGGTAAAATAAGAAATGTCATATTGTAACTGTTCATTTTCATTTAAAAGGACAGATGTATGCTTAAAAAGGCCATATATGACACGCCAACAGACAGTATCATTCTAAATGGCGAAAAGCTGAAAGCATTTCCATTAAGATCTGGAACAAGACAAGGATGTCCACTCTCACCACTGCTTTTAAATATAATACTGGAAGTCCTAGCCAGAGCAATAAGACAAGAGAACATACAAGGAATCCAAATAGGAAAAGAAGAAGTCAAACTATCACTATTTGCAGATGATATGATAATATACATAGGGAACCCCAAAAACTCCACAGAAAAACTAATTCAATTAATCAAGCAGTTTAGTAAAGTGGCAGGATACAAAATCAACACACAAAAATCAGTAGCCTTTCTATACACAAACAATCTGAAGAAGAAATAAAAAAAAAATCCCTTTTATCAAAACAAAAAAAAATCAAATACTTGGGAATAAATCTAACAAAAGAGGTAAAGGACCTATACAAAGAAAACTATAAAACACTGTTAAAAGAAATAGAAGAAGACACAAAGAAATGGAAAGACATCCCCTGCTCATGAATTGGAAGAATTAACATCAGCAAAATGGCCATCCTACCAAAAGCAATATACAGATTTAATGCTATTCCAATATAAATTTCAATGACATTCTTCAAAGAAATAGAACAATTATTGATGAAATTCATATGGAATCACCAAAAACCCCAAATAGCCAAAGCTCTTCAAAAAAAAAAAGGGAATGGAGGCATCACACTCCCAGACTAAAAACTATACTACAGAGCCATAATCATCAAACTGCATGGTATTGGAACAAGAACAGACACACAGACCAATGGAATCGAATAGAAAATCCAGAAATAAACCCACAGATTTATGGTCAACTAATCTTTGACAAAGGAGCAAAGAATATGCACTGGAGCAAAGAAAGTTTGTTCAATAAATGGTGCTGGGAAAACTGGGTTGCTACATGCAAAAGAATGAAGCTTGACTACTACCTCACACCATGCACAAAAACCAACTCAAAATGGATTAAAGAACTAGACATAAGACCTGAAACCATAAAATACATAGAAGAAAATATAGTTGAAACACTACATGACATGCACCTCAGACATCTTTACAGACACATCACCCAAAGCAGTGATAGTGAAGGCAAAGATAAACAGCTGGGACTACATCAAATTAAAGAGCTTCTGCACAGAAAAAAGAGACAATAACCAAACAAAGAGAAACCCCACTGACTGGAAGAAAATTTTGCACACAACACTAATGATAAAGGACTGATCACAAAAATCTACAAAGAGCTGATGAGACTCAACAAAAACAAAGAAAATAATCCAGTCAAAAAATGGGCAGAAGAGCTAAAAAGAAACTTCTCTGAAGAGGAAATGCAAATGGCCAAGAGGCATATGAAAAAATGTTCAACATCACTTGTAATCAGGGAAATGCAAATCAAAACTACAATGAGATACCATCTTACACCACTGAGAATGGCACATATTAAAAAACACTAGCAACAACAAATGTTGGCGAGGTTGTGGAGAAAAAGGAACTCTCCTGCACTGCTGGTGGGGGTGCAAACTGGTCCAACCACTATGGAGAGCTATGTGGAGATTTCTTGACCTACTAAACATAGAGCTTACATATGATCCAGCAATTCCACTCCTAGGTATTTACCCAAAGGACACAAAAACATCAATTCCAAAGAGCACCTGCACCCCTATGTTTATAGCAGCACTATTTACAATAGCTAAGCTATGGAAGCAACCCAAATGCCCCCAAATATATGACTGGATCAAGAAGATGTGGTACATATACACAATGGAATATTACTCCGCAATCAAAAAAGATAAACACATGCAGTTTGCAGCAACATGGATGTAGCTAGAAGGGATCATGCTCAGCGAAATAAGTCAGAAAGAAAAAGAAAAATACCAAATGGTCTTACTCATAGCAGGAATTTAGAAAACCTAAATAAGAGACCAGGAAAAAGACTAATCAATACAAAGTAAAAATCAAAATCAACAAGCAACTATAAATGAGAGACACACTACGGAGGGGAGGGGGAGAAAGGGGCAGGGAAAGTAAGGACTAGAGTAAAAATAAGGGGGGAGATTCAGTTGTGTGGGGAGTATAACCAAAAGGAAAATGCATACATTGTGCAAAGATGAAAAAATATGTAAGAATTATATAAAATAAAATATTTTTAAAAAGTGAAAAAAACCCTATTCAATAAAAAAATAAAAAATAAATGGCCTCAAAATGACAGATCAAGTATTGTAAAGTTAGGATGCAAACCAGCACCTAACACCATGACTGCAAAATCAATAAAATATTGACAAAAGAGATTATAAAGTTGTGTTTTGTCATCTTCAATTGGTATGGACTATTTTAGTTGAGTTGTCAACAAAGTTCTAAGGAAACATGTAAGAGGAGTCACATGTACAACTTTAATTCTAGGCAGGAGTTGTGAAATAAACAAAGGACTGATAAGAAATTAGATTGACAAACGTGATTGTATCTTACGCAAAATGGCACAGAGGAAAATAAAGCTTATTCTGTAAAGTTTTATTGAGCAGCAACTATGTTGCGAATGTATATATAAGAGGAAATGATGAGGTTAATGCTTTCACAGAATCCAGTGGGTATTGTAATGGGCATGAGAAGCAGATGTCAGGTAGTGTGATGATGTCTTTGGATGGTAAGTAGGTGAATGGTATTCCATTGAATGGTCATAACTTTGAAATATGAGAAGGAAATGATTTACCTTTAAAAATTCTCTGTGGTGATACATGGAAAATTAAAAATAGTAAAATCAAGTGGAGGCAAAATGAGGAGTTATAGGGTAGTTCTGACTAGAGAGTGCTATGGAAGTGAATGGAGATCAGTGGATACTTTGAGGCAAGGGTGCCTAGAAGGTATCTATAGGGTTGGCTGTGGGTTCTGTGTGGACTGCAAGAGATACAGCTGTGACTGAGTTCACATTCTTATTCAATATTAGATAGTAATTTAGTTCATTTATGATTTGCTAAAAAATAGCTATGAATATCATAGTTTCAAATGTTATTATTAGTATGACTTATAGGTCTAGCATTGGAACTGGTTAAAAGAATATATTTTAAATTTTGGTGGGTGTTACTAAATTAATAAGAATTTGAAACAAGTTTTAAAATCATACCAGATTTTGTGAGAGAATTTGATAGATATTATGAAACTACTTTTTAAAAATAACTTAGATGTATTTTTTCTATGTATTTCTCTATTTACCAATGACTTCTTTAATGGCTTTGTAGTGCCCTAAGGCATTGCCTACTACATATTACAAATATAAATTAGACAATAAAAAAAGAAAAGATTATAATTTTGGTGGGTATTTATGTAGTTTTTGTGCATATGCTAAAATGTTGGTGCATTTTGGCTTTATTTTTAGGGACTGATTATAGATCAACCTTCCTGTCTCCCTTCCTTTTATTCAAGTGACTATAAATTTGTAAAAGCATCATTTAATTCTGAAAATAAATGACACTTTGATATACTACAAATTTGCATGTGTTTTGATGTACCTAGACTATGTAACCTGCTATATTAGTCTTTATATTCTAAGTATATTAACTTACATAAGTACTAAGTAGTTTAATTTTTTGTTTTTTATTTAAAATGTCCCACTATTCATGATAATTATTTACTTCAAATATTTTATTCTATTTTTGCATGTTTAGTGTTTTCTTTTGAAAGTAAAAAATTCACTTCACAAATTCTAAATGAAAAAATCAAAATCTAAATCTATGGATATGTTTATTACAGGAGGAACATTAAATTTCAGATGAGGAACAGTCAAACTCAAATCTTCACATCACTGAAACTTTCAAAACAAGGTATGATTTTTTAATATATTCATATTTGAAGACTATTTTCTCAGAGGTGCCATTGCATGTTTATTAACAATATTAATAAACTGTTTTTTGAGGCATATGCATATAAATAACCTAATGAGTCTTATAAATTTTGTGTTACTCATATTTTTCTACTGTCAAAGTGTATTTCTTTATAACTGTCATTACATTGCATTTTCTGTTAATGAAATGGGCAATCAACATTATGATTTCATATCTTTAGGGCATTTCTCATTTTCATTACATTTTGGAATTATAAATGTGGAATTGGATTGGTCCTTTTGATTAATAATATTCTGTGATTCATTCTTAAGTTAATACTTTTTTGAAATGGGTAATTGTTGGTAAATTAATCATCACTTTTTTTTCTTGTGAATTCTTTGGTTTCATTTCCTCAGTGTCATTGTTATGTAATTATTTTTGAAAAAATATGCATGCTTTCAAATGAGGTATTATAGTTCTGTCATTCTTTGATTATCCATCATCACTTATTCAGTCTTATTGCTAGTTTTGTAAAGGTTTGTTTCTTGAGTTAACTTTTCGTGAATCTATATTTTCTTTACCCATATTTTTTCTTTAAATTTTTATATTAAATGCTATTTTATGTAATCTTTATCATTTTTCTATGATTTTATTTATTTTATAAAGGTTTCACTCTATGTTTAAGTACTTATCTTTATTTTTTCTTGTGTTGAAATATTTTCTACTGAATCTTTGTTTTTGAAAAGCACATTTTTTATGACATGTAATAATTTGATTATAATTTTATTCTAAATAACTTACAGTTGATACTTGATTCATTCCTTGGCACAGGATTGTTTAAATATCTATGTAATAACTTGGAGGGGGTATATTGTAGAGGGTACAAAAGTCAGTCCTTTCCCTGAAGCAACCAGTAAGCTGGCAAAAACTGACAGAATCTGCTCGCCTTAAAAAACAAGGGGAGTGCTTACTGAAGAATGAGGCTGCTAAATTTTGACATACTAGCCCGCTTATCATTCCTCATTCTCCAGACTAGCAGAAGTTTTTGCCCATGTTCTTTGGGTAGCTTCTTGGAGGTGGAGTATAGGGAGGATTTAGGGGGAATAGAAATCTTGTTCTCAAAAAATTGTGTTTATGCATTTTGGCCATTTGGAAGTCCCTGAGATACCAATGTAGAGAATGACCTTTATTTTAGTGCTGTTCTGGACTAACTTACCTAGCAGTAGGTGGAGAAAGTATTTACAGACATTTGTCACCCATAGGGATATCAACTAACAAGCAGTTGTCAGACCCACAATCATAGGAAAGAGGCTAAGGAGAAAAGTTTTTGGTGGAATAAGGTCATAGAAAGATCACCATGTATACCAGGGAAACTAGAGGGCTATGCACATGCCCAGGAATGGGTACATACACAGAAAGGATGTAAGTGGATCTTAGGTTTACACCAGCAACTCACCTTTTTGTCCAGGCATGTGGAAGGTGAAGGCTGTAGCAAAACTTTAGACAAGTGGTGTAGCCTTGAAGGAGTACCCTCCATAGAGCCAACTGGCAAAAAATAAGAACCATTGTTTTTCTTTCTTTTTTTTTTTACCTTTCTGACACAAACATTTAAGGAAATCTCCATGAAATCACAGGAGGAATGAATAATGGCAATGTGATGTAGTGGCCACACATGACAAGCAATATAATCTTTGGAAAAATAATTTCAAGAAATCACGAGAAATATGGATAACTATATTTCTCAAATATTAACAAGAGCAAAATCTTAGGAAAGGAATAATCTGATTCCCAATATCATTACATAATAATACTCAAAATGTCCAATTAAAAAAATGTCCATAAATTAAAGATGAACAAAGACACAAAAAAGTCTAATTTATTCATAGGGCAAAAAGTATAGAAATGATCCCTGAGCAACTCTAGATATTAGATTTGACAGACAAGAACTATAACTTTTTTTAAAAATTAAGTAACAATACATTATAATGTTTCAGGTGTGCATCTTTATAAATTAATGTTTGTATATATTACAATTAGTTCACCACTAAAAATTCAGTTCTATCCTTTACCTTACATTTGAGCCAATTACCCAATTGAGTCACCCTTATCCTTCTTTTCTGGTAACTACTAATTGGGTCTTAAAGTCTGGAAGTTTATTTAGTTGGTTTAGGTTCTTTTTGTGTCACATGAAATCATACAATGTTTGTCTTTCTCAATATGACTTATTTCACTAAATGCTACACCTTCTAGGTCATTCCATGTTGCTCCAAAATGGCAGAATTTCATAATTTTTAATAGCTGAGTAGTATTCCATTGTGTTTATATATATGACATTTTCTTTATCCTATATCTGTCCATGAATACTTAGGTTGAGGTGTGTGTTTTATTTAGTTTTTTTAAGATTTATTTATGCATACAAGAGCTGGGGTACAGGCCAGAGATGCAGGGGGTGAGAGGATTCACCAGAGACAGAGTGGGGAGCAGAACAGGGAGACTGACTGAAACACACTGCTGAGGGGAGCAGCGGGCAAGACAGAAGTCTGCTTCACCATGTGTGTTGCTCTCTGGCTGGCCGGGGATCGAACTGGTGCTGCAGACCTCTTCTATCTTGCCCCAAGGTGAGGTGTTTTTTCTGGCTCTTAGCTATTGTAAATAGTGCTGCAGGGACCACAGTATGCACCAAACTTGTCAAAATTATTTTCTTCAGGTAAATACTTAGAAGTGGAATGACTGGATCACATAGAATTTTTATTTTTAATTTATTTAGGAATCTAAAAAATGTATGTAAGGGTTCTCTTTTCTCCACATCCTCTTAAATACTTGCTGTTTGTTACTTCTTGGATAGTAGCCATTGTCAAAAGTGTAATTTAATATTTCAGGGTTATTTTCATTGCAATTCTCTAATAAAAATGATTAGCATTTTTTTCATGTGCCTATTGACTATTTGTCTCTTAAAAGAAGTGTCTATGCAGATTCTATGCCAAATTTTAATCAGATTGTTTGCAGTTTTGGAGTTTTTTTAGTTCTTTGTATATTTTTGATACTAATCCTTTCTTGATATATGTAAATCAACTGTCTTAAATATACTCAAGTTTGTTAAGGAAAATGAACAGATAACTAAAAGAAACGAACAAAAACACGCAATGATAGACAATATCATAAAAGATAAACGAAAGCAATTAACTAGAAATTCTGGAAATGAAAAACTAAATGCAAAGAAATGCAAAGAAATCATTAATGGAATTTTGAACAGATAGTAGAAAAAATAAATAAATTTAAAAAAATCGATTAAAATTACTCTGTCTGAGGAACATAAAATTAACTATGAAGTACAACAAATAAAGATGAAGGGATATTTGGGACACCATCAAGTGCATCAGCACATGAATATCAAAGTCCCATAAGGAGAAGAGAGAGGAAATAATAAAAAGAATATTTGAGTAAATTATGCCCTAACTGTCCCCAAATTTCTAAAAACATGAATCTACACATCTAAGAAACTCCACACACATTAACTGCGATAAACTAAAAGATTTATACTAATAACTATGTGGATCACAAGGTAACAGATGCACTCAAACCACTAGTGATGGGAATGATAGGCTGAAAAAGCAACATTGGTGATTAAAGTGCAATTTCTACTATTTATAAATAACTATAGAGAAAACTGTCATACTTTCCATAGGCACATAAGAAAAAGAAACATAGTGAGAACCTATTCTAAATGTAATTTCACAAAAATAGATTTCACACACATTAAAGACAGGAAGCATATCCAATCATCTGGATAGACATGCTGCTCTACTTACATTACTTTAAATGTTTTCAGAATAGAACAAAGATACCATTCTGTCATCTCCTGGTTATCATAATTACATTACAAAACCAAGATCTCATTTGTAATCCTCATTAGTTTAAGGAGAAAATGGAGTTGTTGTGTCGCTTAATGAAAATCCATGCCAAAATGTTCTGTGAAATTAGTGTTATTCTCAATTTTCAGGCATATAAAATGGTGTCATTATCTAACAGTGTGGTGCTTCTCATACCCTAAAGAGCCAGGAAATATTGTTTTATTATAAGGGAAAGATAGATAAACTGTAAAAAAATCAAATTACTGAATTGGTCTTTCAAATGCTTAACCTGGATAGAGGATTCAAGATCTAAATATGCATTTGAAGTTTACTTTTATGAAGTGAGGTGATAAAGTACTGGGCAGGGGGTAGGGAGAGATATTATGGGTAAAATGTTCCAATGAACACTGATCTCGCATTTCGGCTCTCCTATATTTTTCATCATGTTTAATGTAATAGTGTAGGTCTTAAATAGCATCAAAGGGCCCAAATGAAGTGCTATGGTGATGCTGGAAGTGATCCCAAGAAACCAAAAGTCTTGACATTATAGAGAAAAGCATATTGCTTTATATGTACCATAAACCAAGCCCTCAGCTCTGCAAGCCCACTGTGTCAAAATAACTGAATCTAGTAACGGACCACTATAAAAGAGAGAAAGGAACTTCCTGAGGCTGTCACTGCAACTACAGCAGGAAGAGCAAAAATGTTGTACTTTTTAAGAAATACCCTCCAATTTTATATTAAAATGCAGGCTTCTGGTGGCTATACTGCTGTAAGAAAAGCATTTCTCCATTTTGTCACAATTCAAGTTAAGTTGACAACCTAAAGGAAGTGAAGAACCTAAAGCTGCAGAATTTAATATCAGCAAAGGATGGTTTATAATTATAGAGAAAGGTTTGGCATTAAAACGTTGAGATAAAAGGAGAAGCAGCTTCTACTAGCCAAGAGGTAATAGACAAGGTAAACTAACAGTACCAAGATAGAGTGTATAGTAAATATATTTTCTCATCTTTATGATGTTCTTAACATATTCTCTCTTTTCATAATAACATTTTCTCTATATGCTTTGTTGTATGTATACAATATATCATACCTATAGCATACAATGTGTTAATTGACTACTTATGTTATAGGTAAGGTTTCCAGTCG